CGGGAGAAAGACGTACAAACAGATATACCAAGAGGATATTCTGCCTCGCAAGATTGAGAGGGAAAAGGAAAAGGCGCAGCTCGCCAAGGAGAAGCAAGAAAGACGAGAGAAGGAGAGGCAGGAGCGCGAAGAGCGCTTGGCGAGTCCAATGCAGCAGATGCAGATTGCAGAGCAGTTGGAACTATTGAAGAAAGGGCTCAAGAAGGATTCATAGAGCTGACGGTTTATCTCTTCCCCACTTACTGTATCCTTAGTTGATCTTATATGCACGCTCTGTGTGAGAGTATAATAGTACAATGACATTTCAAGTGAAGATGATATGATGCAAAGATACGTTCAACAACCCCGACGAATAGCATGTTACAATTGGTTCGACTTGCGTGTCGCCCTAATCCTAGAGGACTCCATCCCCTAATGAACGACTTTAGTTTCCGAAAGACTTGCCAGCGGGTTGGTTGACTCGTCCAGCACCACCAAACGAGCCCCTCCCATTCCCACCGCTCTTATTATCCGCCCACTGCGCGTCACGTTTATACACGTGGTCCTGCGTAAACTCGGCGCGCTTCTTCTCTTTCTTGTTCTGCTGGTCCTCGTTACCCTCTTGTTGTTGTTCGGCATTGGCATTGGCAGTGGCGTCGGCGTCGGTGGTGGTCTCGCCTTCGGCTGTGGCAGTGGGACGCGGGTATTCGGGGGGTGTGGATGGGTCTAAGGTCTTGGATGCGTCCTTGGATCCACTAGATCGTGTGTTAGTGATTATACTTCGATAAGCGAGTTAGGAGGCATGGGATGGGAGGAGGTGGTGCGTGTCGGTGGGCACTGCACTGGATCTGATCTGATGGGGGACGTTCTGGGTCGTGTTTGGTAATTGGTGGTCACGCACCTGCGAGCGTGCCTCTGAGGCAAAGACATGCGACGACCGCCAACTTTCACTAATAGAGCGATGTTAGTTTAGGTTCATTGTGGATATTATTGGGAATATAAGGAGTGGTAGGAGGTGATGGGGAGTCGTGTCGTGCTCCCATTACGCCCTTGAGCCTTCGCTTCGAAGCGGGTTGCGGCGAGGTCGCGTGTGGCGTGCACGGGGTTTGACTCGGACTAGGCGTCTTTGGTGTTGTGGTGCGATGGAGTAGGAGAGATACGTACTGGCTGCAGCTAAATTCGATGGATTCTTGGGAGACGACATGGTGAGAGGAGGGTGAGGGAGGAGAGAGAGATGAAGGACTAGGTTTGGTGAGATGTGGCGAGTATATATAGGTGATCAGTAGAATAAGGAAGGTGCAAGGGATCGTGACCAAGTCAGGAGGCAATGGATTCGACAGGGAGCCATCGTGACCATGTATGGCATAATCGAATGCACAGGCCCAACAGCACTTGGCCATTAGGCACAATCTCTCATCTATTGAAGCATGCAGTATTATTGCGTGTTGGTGTGGTGTGTCGATGTGTATCTTGCAATCTATATGCACTAGACGCGTTGTGTGGGGGTAATAGAGTTCGCGTGAGGAGAGCCATTCTTGCGGTGAGAGTGGACTTGATGGGTGCGTTTGGTGTGCAGTGTCCGTCTCTCGTCGTGCTTGTTGGGCATTGCACGAGAGGCTGTCCAGTCGAGCTCTCCACCTAGAGCGCTACTTGACGAACGTGGAGGTACGGTAGATATACATCGCTTCGGAGAATGAATGGTACACAGAGGTTCTATGTGATAGAGGACAACGAGATAGAGGTTAGAGTGCCTGTTTATGGGTATAGTGGGAATCGATATGGAGGGGTGGTACAAGATCTGCATCTGTCTATTCCTGTGATACGGAGAGGGCAACACTACCGACTATGTCGTTCCTCTCCTAGTCCAAACGCGGCAGTTATTCTCATTTGATTATCGGAGCGAACGCATATCAAAAGGGTAAAGAGTCAAGTCCGGCTTTCACGTTCCGTTCCAAAACTTTAAGCGTAAATATTGCATTCCACTACCAAGAGTACATTACGAGATATATCCTGCCGAGAGTGATGTTGACAGAGTGTCGCGGATGGTCGTTTGGAGGCTAGACCCGTTCTGGACAACTGTAGTGGGTCGCGGCACCGGGTTTTACCTTGAAAGGTCCATGTTATGCAACGCACCAATAGAAGAGAAGCCGTAATCATCATTTGTCATGAATAACAGGTTCAAAACTCTTCCAAGTGCGCTCGGCACCGGTGAACTTGGCCCTGAGCATCTATTGCGCTCGTCATATAGAAGCTGAGAAGGTCTAGGGGTGCTCTCGTTTGCACAAGAATTCTCCCTCTTTTTCTCGGCACCGCGAAGTTGGGCCCTGGACAGAGACATCATAGATGATGATAGGGCGTATGAGAATAGGGCTTCACCTCGATGTTCGTGTCCGTTTCACGTAAGCTTACCTTGACTTGGACTCGATTTAGACAAGAGTGTCGGCACCGTACGGCAAAAGAGGTGAGCATTGTAGTCCATCTCAGCAAAGGCCCATGCCGAGGTCTTCTATTTGATGGATACCGACTAGCGATACCGGCTCGCATTCATCCTATAGCCGTAACCTGTATTATACCTGTGGAGAGCCAGGGCCATTTGTCCGAACGGTCAGTCGCCATCTATACTATTTTGGCCGGCATTGAATACGATTGGATGGGAGAACGGAATTATGCGATCGGTTGGGGAGTAATAGGCTCTCCCAGATCAAAAATATGTACGACGCCAGTAATAGTAACAGGGGGAGTGTGAGAGAGTGATGCAAGCTTTTGGGCGTCGGTGCAAAAAGCGAGGAAAACAAGGTCGTAATCCGAACTCCGCCTATAATCGTCGATGTTATAGCTTGGTGTATGATGGCAAATGGCACTAGTGTCCCGTACGAACTTCTTTTTTGAAAATGACCCAAGGCCGAGTTTTTGGGTTTCTGGGTCAAAACGTGTCAGCATGTAGCCCACCAAGCCGGGCTCACCTCGCTCTTCTCCTAAAAAATCGCATGTTGCGTATATGTACCGTG